TGTCAATTTGAGGACTTGGGATTCCCGAATGTTTTTGTCTTCGTTTTGTTTACAGTTGACTACGTGCAGCGTTGACAGTTCGTCTTTCTTTTTTATGGGGGGGGGGGGGGGGGGGGGGGGGGGGGGGAGGCACCCAGCTACTCTAGGACTAGTGTATTTTCTACGAAAGAGGAACAGCGACTTTAGTTCTTGTTTGTTTGAAGCGAAATAATTAATCTTTTAACGTCCCGAACGCTTAAATTTAAAAAAATAACGTTTTTTTTGCTTGCCTTTGTCACTGACTTTGTAAACATGTGTATTTGCAGAAAAAAAAAGCTTATTTGCGATACTTTAGATATTGGCTACCTTATGTATTTTGATGTTGACTTTTACGGATTTTTCAGCGACAATTGGTAATAAAGAGTTATTTCTTTATGAACAGTGGGAAAACGTCCGTTCAGATTCTACTTACGGCACAGCGAACATTAATAATAATCAAGTACGGATGATATGCTAACAGCGGAGCGCGTGGTTTATGAAATTACGATATATGCTGCGTTCTCTAGCGTCAACTACGAACTGATACAAAAAAAAAAAAAAAAAAAACTGCGGGGTGGGAAGGGAGCTAGTAGGGTACGCGCCTACCCTGATGGGCATACCCTTGTATGCCGCTCTCCCCTCCTCAGGTTCAGTAGTTCCTAGTTGCCTCTAGGTTGCGGAGAATCTGTCAAAGGCCACGCGCTCCGCTGTTGGCATTTCATTCGAACCCGATAGTACCTGCTCGTTTGCACAGGAGTGCACTTACTTTTTACCCTCGCAACCAATGTAAATTTATCACCAATAACAAGAATTCAGACATGTGTAAATCGTTTCGAGAATGAGAACTTCCATATTTTTAACAAATAGGCTAATTTTATAGAGGAGTTGAATCGGACGCTTATCCTTTCTTCGAAGTGCATTTTTGGTTTTGCTTAATTTGGAATTTATTAATATATATAAACAAATGTTTTTGTTATTTGAGCAACTTTTATATTTTATTACGTTGTGCGATATTAAAGGCGATTGTTCATGTGCACACAGAAAAAGAGACAATGATAAAAGATTGCGCGGGACGTCATTCTATTCTGCTGATGTTTATCCCTATCCTCGCAATTTTCCGGAAAAGAAAATTCGATGGAGCAAAATGCAGGGCGCTAAAGGTACGTGCTCAGTATCAAGGCCACCACAACAGCCTCATACATGGCTTGCATTAACATCACATAAGCTGCCACTGCGTTGGCCTTGCGACGTGGCAGAAAAAAATTGACGCAATGTTAGTTGGTAGTCACCGTGTGTTGTACGTTATTAAAAAAATCATGCGAGAATACCTCGTCCCCATATCATGCCCAATCGAGTAACGCAGCGCGGACGACTTGTACACCAGACTGGAATTTCGTTGTCGAATACATGTTTTTCACTCTACAGTCTTCACCATCCTGTTTTTAAATTCGTTTGTATTTACTCCACTGCGGTATGCAGCCGTCTTTCGTTTGGACGGTCGCAGACCTCACCGGACCGAACCACCCTTCGCGGCCGTTACCTTTCACCCATTCAAGTCGTCCCCAAGTCGACCCCAAGTCGTCCCCAAGTCGACCCCAAGTCGACCCCAAGTCGACCCCAAGTCGACCCCAAGTCGGCCCCAAGTCGACCCCAAGTCGGCCCCAAGTCGACCCCAAGTCGACCCCAAGTCGCCCCCAAGTCGACCCCAAGTCGCCCCCAAGTCGTCCCCAAGTCGTCCCCAAGTCGCCCCCAAGTCGCCCCCAAGTCGCCCCCAAGTCGCCCCCAAGTCGTCCCGAAGTCGTCCCGAAGTCGTCCCGAAGTCGCCCCCAAGTCGCCCCCAAGTCGCCCCCAAGTCGCCCCCAAGTCGCCCCCAAGTCGCCCCCAAGTCGCCCCCAAGTCGCCCCAAGTCGTCCCCAAGTCGTCCCGAAGTCGTCCGAAGTCGTCCCCAAGTCGTCCCCAAATCGTCCCCAAGTCGTCCCCAAGTCGCCCCCAAGTCGCCCCCAAGTCGTCCCCAAGTCGTCCCCAAGTCGTCCCCAAGTCGCCCCCAAGTCGCCCCCAAGTCGCCCCCAAGTCGCCCCAAGTCGCCCCCAAGTCGTCCCCAAGTCGTCCCCAAGTCGTCCCCAAGTCGTCCCCAAGTCGCCCCCAAGTCGCCCCCAAGTCGCCCCCAAGTCGCCCCCAAGTCGTCCCCAAGTCGTCCCCAAGTCGCCCCCAAGTCGTCCCCGTCGTCCCCAAGTCGCCCCCAAGTCGCCCCCAAGTCGCCCCCAAGTCGTCCCAAGTCGTCCCCAAGTCGCCCCCAAGTCGCCCCCAAGTCGTCCCCAAGTCGCCCCCAAGTCGCCCCCAAGTCGCCCCAAGTCGCCCCCAAGTCGCCCCCAAGTCGTCCCCAAGTCGTCCCCAAGTCGTCCCCAAGTCGTCCCCAAGTCGCCCCCAAGTCGCCCCCAAGTCGCCCCCAAGTCGTCCCCAAGTCGTCCCCAAGTCGCCCCCAAGTCGTCCCCAAGTCGTCCCCAAGTCGCCCCCAAGTCGCCCCCAAGTCGCCCCCAAGTCGCCCCCAAGTCGTCCCCAAGTTGTCCCCAAGTCGTCCCCAAGTCGCCCCCAAGTCGTCCCCAAGTCGCCCCCAAGTCGCCCCCAAGTCGTCCCCAAGTCGCCCCCAAGTCGTCCTCAAGTCGTCCCCAAGTCGTCCTCAAGTCGCCCCCAAGTCGCCCCCAAGTCGTCCTCAAGTCGTCCCCAAGTCGTCCCCAAGTCGTCCCCAAGTCGTCCCCAAGTCGTCCCCAAGTCGCCCCCAAGTCGCCCCCAAGTCGCCCCCAAGTCGTCCCCAAGTCGTCCCCAAGTCGCCCCCAAGTCGTCCCCAAGTCGTCCCCAAGTCGCCCCCAAGTCGCCCCCAAGTCGCCCCCAAGTCGTCCCCAGGTCGTCCCCAAGTTGTCCCCAAGTCGTCCCCAAGTCGCCCCTAAGTCGCCCCAAGTCGTCCCCAAGTCGCCCCCAAGTCGTCCTCAAGTCGTCCCCAAGTCGTCCTCAAGTCGCCCCCAAGTCGCCCCCAAGTCGTCCTCAAGTCGTCCCCAAGTCGTCCCCAAGTCGTCCCCAAGTCGTCCCCAAGTCGCCCCCAAGTCGTCCCAAGTCGTCCCCAAGTCGTCCCCAAGTCGTCCCAGGTCGCCCCCAAGTCGTCCTCAAGTCGCCCCCAAGTCGTCCCCAAGTCGTCCCCAAGTCGCCCCCAAGTCGCCCCCAAGTCGTCCCCAAGTCGTCCCCAAGTCGTCCCCAAGTCGACCCCAAGTCGACCCCAAGTCGACCCCAAGCGGACCGGACCGCACAGGACCAGATCGGAGAGGACCAGATCGGACCGGACCGGACAGGAGGTCCATCAGTTACTACACCTCTTGCGCGAGCTTCTTGCCTCCGATTAGACTACTACAACAACCTGATATGATGCAAACCACATTCATCAATCTGCGGCTTCCATGGAAGCAAGCGGAATATTCTGGCTTTTTAACACGAGAACATAATCCTTGTGTGCGTGACAACGCGGGGGTTCATATTGCTGACCACTGTGCCTACGTTGATGTAAACCTGTCTTATAAAGCGTGATTAGCACGTTGTATTCTGTGATTATTAACGATACCAAAATGCAGAAATAAGTACGTTTCACGGCTCATCTTCTGCGATCCGATGCACTTGTCGTTGGTGAGTAACCTTTTTTGCAAGGGGGAGCAAAAGGGGAAAGGGGCGGGGGGGGGGGGGGTATTTGAGGCTTTTAAAGGGCAGTCCATGTACAACAATCGGATTTTTCGGCAATTTTAGTATCGTTTAAAGTGGCTTGCAGTGCACAAAAAATCTGCAATGAGTTAATAGGATATTGGCTTTTGTACCTATCGCTGGTTGTCCTGTTTCCGATGTTGGTAAACTGAAAGAACAGGAAGCGTTTTTTAGGAGTACAGTCCGGCCCTTACTCTAACCGTGTGATCGTGTCTACTAAAAAAAAACAAAAAACAAGAATACTAATCGGACCGAAACGGGAAGTAGATATTGTGAATGTTCGTACAGCGAAAAACTTGCGAATGTTGCGTCGACGCTGTGCAGAGGCAATTTAGCTAGTGCAGAACGGACGCTATAACTTACGACTGAAACGACTCCCGAGAGATGACGCGTTCAACCAACATCAACTATGGAATAACCAAAAGATGTGGACAGCCTTCTCGACCTCCACGAAAGGTCGCGCGTCCTTTGACGCATCAACTGGACACAAGGTCCACAGCCGAACGCTGCGCGCGAGTCTCATGTCCAGTTTGCGTCTTAGTGCGATGACGTCGAAATGCAACTGCTGGACTGATTATTCTACACAGCAACCCAACTCGCTGACGTCATACCACTGGTGTCGGAAATGCGCACGCGCAGAAGCACCAAGTGCCCTAACACCGGTGTGGTCAAGGTCCTCGACCTGTTTGTAAACATCGTTTTAGTATATGTTCCGTTTCAGTCGCAGTTCGAGTGCAGCCAACGCTATACAATTTCGATGGTGCCAGCGCTGGAAGTGCAACGTCACTGCGCTGAGTGACTGGCTAAACCAGTCGCTCACAGTGAATGCGCCCTGATCCTGCGCGGTGTTGTTTAGTATGTCCTTTTCGCTAACGTGTCTCCGGTTTTATTATGTTGGCTAATATTCACCGGCTCACCATGTCACGTGTCACATGACTTCAACTTCCCCGCTAGATTTAGCGGGAAAATTGACGTCACGTGACCTCAACACCAATTCAGTTTCCCCGCCAAATTTAGCGGGAAATCTACACTACGTGATAGCGATCGCACATCGCAGCAGCCACGAGGTGCAGCTGCTATAGACCTTTTTTGCAAGGGCGCCGCCATCCTGAATTGTCGTCACTTCCAGTATGGGCGAAAACATTGTTTTGCCGTCGCCGCGCCAATAGAATACATTTAGGATAAAAGCATAACCGTCACACGTTCTCATTTTGCCTCTCCTTTATTTTAGAGCGCAGCTCTTAGGGGCCCGTTTCCGGCTTGAGCGGCGTCGGCGTCGCCGTCGCCGTCGGCGTAACCGCGCGGTGCATTATGGGAAAATTTCCCCGCTAAATCTAGCGGGAAAAATTCCCCGCTAAATGTAGCGGAAAAATTTCCCCGCTAAATCTAGCGGAAAAATTTCTCCGCTAAATCTAGCGGGAAAATCTAGCGGGAAAAATTCCCCGCTAAATCTAGCGGAAACATTTCCCCGCGAAACCTAGCGTAAAATATTCCCCGCTAGATTTAGCGGAAAAATTTCCCCGCTAAATCTAGCGGAAAAATTTTCCCACCTAAATTTAGCGGAAAAAATTCCCCGCTAAATCTAGCGGAAAAATTTTCCCGCTAAATCTAGCGGAAAAATTTCTCCTCTAAATCTAGCGGGAAAAATGCCCCGATAAATCTAGCGGAAAAATTAACCCGTTAAATCTAGCGGAAAAGTTTTCCCGCTAAATCTAGCAGAAAAGTTTTCCCGCTAAATCTAGCGGAAAACTAAATCTAGCGGAAAACTTTCCCCGCTAAATCTAGCGGAAAACTTTCCCCGCTAGATTTAGCGGAAGAAATTCCCCGCTAAGTCTAGCGGAAAAAATTCCCCGCTAAGTCTAGCGGAAAAATTTCCCCGCTAAATCTAGCGGAAAAAATTCCCCGCTAAATCTAGCGGAAAAATTTTTCTGGGGGTCACGTGACCCCCCAAGGTCACATGACCTTCCCCCCCGCCCCGCCTCGAGAACAGGTAACCCTCAGTACCCTTCCCCCCTCCTCCTCAAGAGCTGCGCTCCAATTCGGTGTTACAGTGAGTTGTAAACGGCTTTCATTTTTAGAGCGCAGCTCTTAGGGGCCCGTTTCCGGCTTGAGCGGTGTCGGCGTCGCCGTCGCCGTCGGCGTAACCGCGCGGTGCATCATGGGAAATGTCCCATAATGCACCGCGCGAGCCCCCCACCGGGGTCACGTGACCTCGTGGGGGGCACGTGACCCCCCGAAGTCACGTGATTCCCCTGAGGTCACGTGACCCCCTCCTCGAGGTCAAGTGACCCAACACCTCCTAGAAGACAAGGCCGTAGTGCTCTTCTCGTGACGTCGCAAAGGAAGGCCATCGAGGGCGCGCGTCGAAGCGAATGCAACGCGCGTAGATCGACCGTCGTAACGCGTTTTTAGTCACATACGCGTGTCATATTAGCTAAAATGAAAGCTGCAGATAGCAACGGGTCTAGAAAACATTTTATTACACGAGCAAAATATTACACCGCTAAATAATCGGTACGAAATGGCACGAGGTACGCGTACAAGACGTCTATCGAAAAATGTGATTGTTTTAAGTCGAAAACCTTGAGTCATGCAATTATTGTTGTAGGAATGCATATTTTATACAGAAATACTTTGACAAAATGGCGAGACACGCAGTGATTTTGAAACAGCAAAACAGACCAGTTAAAAATCAGGTAGACATAGTCAACGCGGACAAGGCAAGACAAGCGTTTCTCACGATCATGTAAGCGACGTTATCGCGTGCAGTCACTGAATTCTTGCATCATACCCCGGCCACATGGCAAAATTAATGTGATTTCGATCGAATGACATTATAGGGTCGACAAATCCGCTTGCGGCGCTCGTATAATCACTCAAGACCGCGAGCTGATTAAATCCTATATCAAACTTACTACTCAGTCTACTAATTTACTTCTGCCTATGGGCTCGAGCTGCCAGAGAACAAAACATAACTTATTTTGTATATAATAATACTATCACCTTAATACAGTTAAGATTCTAGTATAAACGCGGAAAAGGCAATAAAATAACTTTAGTATAAATAAACACAGAACCACAAACAACTCACTTTCAATAATCACACAAACTTGATTTTCATCTTCCAGTGAAAACTAGATTAGCGCGCATATTTACAAATGTCGACGCAACTGCATACGAATAATGACAAGGAACAAAATTGCAATTTATCATGCGATTAAAAAAAAAAACGATTGCAGCATCTTACTTGCGTCCTACATGAACAAGAAAGCCCGTAAATAAGTTGTTTCTCACCTGTCGATCGTATCCATACGCCCCACAATATCCGTGACGAACACATTTGAACACGAACTCCAAGAAGCCTCTCTTTGTCGAGAGAGAGGTCTATCGATTAGTCGACCAGAGCCTTCGTTGGCTAGTTGTCACACGTCACTCAAACCGTAGCAGGACTTGTTTCACGAATGCACGTAAATGCCGTAGTATCAAGCGAACACAAAAAAAAAAAAAAAAAAAAAAAAAACTACCCGAGACTACGGTGATGACAGAAATACGACGGGAAACAAGTCTCGAAAGTACCACACACGAGAGCAGCGGCGACGAAAGGCTTAACGTTGTCGACCCATCTCTTGCTGGTGTGCGCTCCCTGCGACAACGACTGGATTTCTTTTCGGTTTGCTTCCCTTCTGAGATGTCTCAACGTTCCTTTTCAGACAGTCAGCAGCTCACACACAACGTAAATTTACCAGAATCGGAGCCATGTGGCATCAGCAGCATCGCAGCCGGTTCAGCCGGTCCTTTCGAAAAATGTGGGGTGCTGCGGAACTGCACGTAGTCCCGCGGTTACGGGAATACTCATAAATATAATTTTGGTACTCTCAACCTTGGTAGCGCGTTATATAATACGTTTATATTATATATATAATACATTGTACAAGACTGCGCCTTTAAAACGTATATTAATGTCGGATAAACGCGCATGAACGAACACCACCGCGCCGCTTGTCGAGGGACATTGTTTTCACGTCGATAGCGTATTCTCACGTAGTTGCGCCATGGACTTCCTTCCTCCGCCATTGTGACGTAACCTCTCAGAGCGCTCTGGCCTTCTTCTCTAGGAGGTGTTGAGTGACCCCACGAGGTCACGTGACCCCCGCCGATGTCGCGTGACCCCCGATGACGTCATCGTCACTGATGCCGTCACCGGCATCCACATCGTCATCGTCATCATCACTGATGACGTCACCGGCATCCACATCGTCATCGTCATCATCACTGATGACGTCACCGGCATCCGCATCGTCATCATCACTGATGACGTTACCGACATCCGCATCGTCATCGTCATCATCACTGATGACGTCATCAGTGACGTCACTGACGTCGTCACCGGCATCCGCATCGTCATCGTCATCATCACTGATGACGTCATCAGTAACGTCACTAATGACGTCATCGGTACCCGCATCGTCATCGTCACTGATGACGTCATCAGTGACGTCAGTGATGACATCATCGGCATTGGGGGTCACGTGACCCCCCCTGGTTAGTTTACCCCCCCCCCCCCCAGTGCCCTTCCCTCCTCCTCCTCAAGAGCTGCGCTCTAATTCGGCGTTACAGGGAGTTGTAAGCGGCTTTCACTTTTTTTTACTATTTACAGGCTGAAACGTTTGAATAATTTTTCGACGCCCATACCGGATCTGCCTATTAGGTGGCTGGGGACGAGAGTACACGGAAAGGGCCCATACTCTGTTTCACCTTGTGTTGTACCGCAGGAAAGACCACAAGCGAAAGCTTCTTGCTCAAGGGCACGTCTTGGCGGCACATGCTCTCGTGTACCAAGGGCAGCTGCCAACGCTATGAGCTCGCGCTTCTAGCTTTCGCTGCGGTACAGCATAAGGTGGAACGGAGTATAGACGCTTTACACACGCGCCAAGTTACAGCCGCCATTGCTGACCTTCTCTTGTCTTACCGAGATGCCGAGCAACTGAAACGGTAGTTGCCGATCCTCTACAAAGGCCGATGCTTTAGAAAATGATTCAGTTGAATATAATGTGGCAATAACCTGGCCTGCTATGGTAATGATGAAGTGCAATAAACGAAATAAGAGGAAACAAAAACTGAAGGTCAGTTATGGCGGCGCCCATGCACAGCTGCTGCAAAGCGTCTATACCAGTAGACAAATTCGGATCGATTCTTCTGTCACGCAGCACGCCCACTCGAACCCAAGAAGAAGCGGCGAGCCAGTCTAGGAACAACTATCAAGTTTACACACTCCACGCGTGAATTCCTCATGAAGGGCGCCGCGAACGTGGGCATATGGCATCTGGAAACTCAAAGTAGCGCTAAACGTCTATGATGCAAGAACTCTCCAGGTGTCTAACACAATTGCCCTTTGATCCCTTTGTTTCCTTTCTCCGGGGATTATTATCGCTATTCTCCTCCAACTCGCTCGCACCTTTGCATTAATTACATTAGCATCATAACCTTAGAATGCATGCCATTCACCCTTCTCGGTGTTAGACAGGTGGAAGCTGTGAAAGTCTATTTGACCTACTGTCGTCTTACTCCTTGTTAGCTCAGTTGGTAGAGCGCTCCACTTGAAAAGGGAGAGGTCCCTGGTTCAATACCAGGACCAGGCACATTTTTCTAGTCACGCACCAGTCATCTATGTTGTGTTTGGAGATTTGTGTTTTTCCTTTGTCCCCTTTGTTGCCCTTTTCCAGGGATTATTATTGCTATTCTTGTCCAGCTCGCTTGCACCTTTGCATTAATTGCATTATCATCTTGCCTAGCGATTTGCCACACATTACAGGGCGAATTGCTCTGCAATGTGCAAATTGCAAGGCAAATTGCTCTCAAATTGTGTTCCTACGTGAAATGTTCTTGGTTTAGCGCAAGTAACCTCAAGGCATTTTTTTTTGGAGCTTTCCACTTTCCACCTTATTGACTTTCCCCGTCGCGTCGGTCTCTGTGCACAGAGAATGGAGAGTGACGGCTTGCGGGCGATCACGAATCAATTTTCGCGCTAAATTTAGCGGGTAAACTGAACTGACGTGTAGGTCTCGTGACGTCAACTTTCCGGCTAAATCTAGCGGGGAAACTGAATTTGTGACTGGGTCACGAGACACGAAGTCGTGTGACGTCATTTTTCCCGCTGAAGTTAGTGGGGAAACCGGATTGGCATTGAGGTCAGGTGACGTCCATTTTCCCGCTAAAGTTAACGGGTAAACCGAATTTATCTGTAAGTCACGTGACTTCAAGTTTCCCGGCTAAATCTAGCGGGGAAACGAAATTTGTGTAAAAATCGCGCGACTCAAGGTCGCAAGACATTCTCCCGGCTCAATTTGGCGGGAAAACTGAATTGGCGTAGAGGTCACTTGACGTCAATTTTTTTCCCGATAAATCTAGCGGGAAAACAAACGCCCTCTAAATTAGCCGGTGAGTAACGCACGGAGACCACGAGGGTCGTGACGGGACACCCTTTTGAAGCTACCTGATGGTCTACATTGGACAGTAGCATTGGCTGCGTTGAAACTTAAGGTTGGTTTTCACACATTTGCGACGGCTTAGGACGTTGTGCCTTAAAACTTCTTAAAATCTTTTACGTCGAGAGAACACCCTGCCGACATCTATTGGTGCTGCCGCGGAATACTTGCAGTTTTCATATTGGTACATTTGGGTACTTTTTTTGCTTGAAAGTTTTTTGGCAATGTTATAAACGACCATGTCTCATAGATAGTACACACATTTAATGTCGCAAATACTGCAAAAAAACAACAAAAAAAACCTTTGCTTTAGTTAAATGTAGTTTTAGGGTCACCTCATAGATGGCGCCAGCATGACAGTGTTTTCTCTCGTCGTTAGAGATCACAAGAACTCGGTCCCAAGTGAACGCACTTCAATGTGTGCGAACGGGCGTTTGATGTGGTGTTGTTTTGACCGTGGCTGTCCGAAGGGAATACATTTCGCATCTTCCGTGTTTCGCTGCTTCCGCCATCATCAGCTGCGGGCGCAGCTTCAACCTGTCGCTTTTGAAGCACGGTTTTCGGCAATTCGGAGGAAGGTCCGATGGCGACGAAACAGCGTGCGGGTTAGGCCGCTTATTGCGCTATTGTTGTCGGAAAATGAGGAATGGGCAGACCTTTTGGCACGACCGGTCATAAATCTTACGAGGTTCCTTTCTGAGCTGAACTTCACTAAGAGGATTCGACTTCACCACAGACGTAGCGAGGCTGAACTAATGATATGGGCGGTTTATGCAAAAATGCTCCAGCTGCGGCAAAAAAAAAAAAAAGTCAAAAGTTTCTTTGTTAGGAGACATTTGTTCTTTGCAGTTGGACGCGCTGGATACAAATGGTTGCGGTTTGACAGAAGGGAAACTGAGAACTTATGACTGTAGCCTTGCACGTGACATGATCGCATTATGCAGGTGATATCTTCCACTCGTTCTCGCCGTGAAAAACAAATTCGGGGGTGAGAACTGTAGGCTGAGAAGCTTTCAGCCTTTCTAGGGTGCCTCAATGTCCTTCTGTTTAGGGTGATGCCACCTTTTGTAGTACCAGATGCCGACAGCACGCGCTCACGGGAAAAATACAAAGAAATCGACGAAAACAAAATGTAACCATAGGACAGTCAGCGCCACAAGCGCGTGCAGGGACACGCTCTTTCACGCGCTTCTCAACAAAAAATAAAAATAAACGTGTGTGACAAAATGGCGAGATGCCACCACCCTAAGCAAAGCGCGCATGAAGGTACCCTAAGCCTTTCCACTCTGGTGAATAAGGAAGACCAGCGAAGGTGTACTATGGTGGGAATGAAGTAATGACCGGCCGCAACTCGGGAAGCCAGAGCGGAAAGGCCGAAAAGGTTGCCGCCGTCGCCCATAGATGGTGGTAGCTGTCCGGAGTGTCGCGTCGACATTTATTTGCTGACGGACACGATCCTGGGGAAACTAACCAGGTTGCCGCCATCAATAAGCGACGGCGACAACCAGACAACCAGCAAGCCGGTTGTCCGATTGCCGCCGTCGCCCTTAGATGGTGGTAGCTGTCCGGAGTGTCGTGTCGGCATTTGTTTACTGGCGGACGCGATCCTGGGGAGCTAGCCCTTAACAGCTCCGCTGTAAAAGGTGCGCGCTCGCCAGCAAAGCCACCACGATAGTTTCTGATGTGACGTCAGTTCAAGTCACGCGGATGCAGAACAAGCCAGGATGCCTCAAGCGCTATTCGCCAAAGCTTCGATGAAGTCGTGTATCCGCCATCTATTGTAATGACGCCATCCGCGTGTTAAGAGTAACAAAAGGGCAACGTGCGCTGCGAAGCACTACCGAAGGCGCATTTTGGGGGGGTTCTGATATTTGTAGTGGGGCAGTTCGGCGGCAGTATTTGCTCCCGAGCGGGAAATATTCCTTCCTTGTTTATTATATATATATATATAAAAAAAAAGATGTTTACAAATGTGTAATGCGATATTGGACCGCAGCCGTAAAGGTACTTGATTTTGCAATATACCGAGTTAAACAATTTGAGAAAGTAATACATACATATGTACAAACAGGAACGTAGCCAGGGGGGAGGCCCATGGGGCCCGGGACCCCTCGAAATCTTCCATTTTGCTGGGACCTCCTCCTCCTCCTCCTCCTCCTCCCCCCCCCCCCCCCCCCCCCCCCCCCGAAACAAAATCCTGGCTACGTGCCTGTGTACAAATATAGATCACTCTTCTCACATACTGGTTATGCACCCTCCTTTTCCGTGTCCTCTTCCTCCTTCGTACCCTCCACTCCTCCACCTCCGTACCCTCCCTCCTTTTCCTTCATAACCTTCCCTCCTCCGACAGCTTCCACGCTAAATTTAGCTGGAAAATTGACGGCACGTGGCCACAACACCCATTCAATTTCCCCCTCTAAATTTACCCGGGAAAATGACATCACATGACTTCGTGTCACGTCACCTATGAACAAATTTAGCTTCTTCGGTAGATTTAGCGGAAATATTCACGTCACGTGACCTCAACACCCAATTCAAATCTTCGTTAAATTTGGTGGGGAAACTGAATTGGTGTGTAGGTCTGTGGCATCCCATAATGCAACACTGCGAATTCAGTTTGCCCGCTAAGTTTAGCGGTAAAACTGTCGTCACATAAACTCAACATCAGTTCAGTTTCCCCACTAAATTTAGCAGAGAAACTGTGACGCCCCATAATGCAACGCGACCGGTTACGCTGACGGAGACACGAATGCCGACACCGCTCAACGCGGAAACAAACGTCTAAAAACTGCGTTCCAGAAAAAAAAAAAAAGGAGCTCTTATGAGAGTTTGTTCAGAGAAAGGAGCATATTGTTTTGAAAGGCGCCAAGTGCTATGTACGCCGTTTCACGGCACGTCAGAGGGCATACAAGTGTTACAAAGACACGCACACACCGACTGAAAGCACAAACGTCCACAGCGCGTTCACCGCTCTTGATTGGCACAGCGGACGGACACTTG